ACTTCAGGAGAACATGTGAAACTCTATCAAGGCCACCGGATTTACAGGGACTGAGCCGGGTTAGTTTTTGAGAAATTTCTGCAGGAGAAACGACGACAATCAGGTTGGTTATATTATTGGCGCTTTCTACGTCAAATTCGTATATTGTTTTTAAACATGCTGTGCATATATCTGTACAGTACCATCTCATTGATGTTTACCTGTGATTGTTTTTGTTTCGCTTCCTTTTTCTAACTCTCTCTGTCTGTTTACCGTTTGTTTGCCACCCGTTCCCCCTCCATTGACGTTCGTGTTGTGATTAGAGTCAGTATTTAACTCGAGCATGATAGTACGCACTTCATCTCTCTCTGTTCAGCCTTGTGTGCTTTTTCTGTCATGTTTGAGGAACGAGGGTTTCATTCAGAATAACGTTGATCATGTTTGTATTGATATGAGCATTCTCACATCCTCCGCATTCCTGCAACGTGCACAAGAGATGGTCATTTGTTTAAATTGGCATGACGCATGTGACCTTGACTTGCTTACAGGCATGATTTGGTGTTGTTCTTTGCTTTCTTGTCCCTTGTTACACCATCAGTCATCTGGACAGGCATTCAATAAACTCACAGTTTCATTTATTATGTTAGAACGCATCCAAATGTGTCCTGTTCTGAGCACTTCAATCGATATTTGTCCCCGAACGACCTTGTTTTACCTTTTAAGTTGTGTTATTCAAGTTTAATCAAACAGCTCGTTTCCCCTGATTGGATCCTCTCTCTCGGTCTCTATCACGCTCCTATTTAGATGACTCGGCAGATGATTTACGGGGTAAATCAGTCACGGTGGGTGAAAGTCCACAGGCCGGTTCGTTGCGAACCAAGCTAGAAGCGTTGAACAAGGCCAGTCAACGACAAAACGAGCCCCCCATCAGTCCGGTGAATGGATCCACCCCTAATGTTCAAACTGGTGGTGTGAGGGCGCTGAAAGAAAAGCATGCCACCATGTTCGATAAGGTACGTTCCGGCATGCGACCGAGCGTGCGCGAGTTAACTGGTTTTGACAAATTTATGGTTGTTATTTTAGAGGTGTCTTCTATTTCTGATTTTGGAGTTGGAGGGTCCCGAAGTGAATTGTTTGAGTTACCCTGATCAAGGATTGCACGTGAATGTTTCATCACATCTGCAAATGAATTAGTAGGTATCGTTTACAACGTGATTTTAACATGAAATAACGACCTTGATTACCAGTACAACGAATAAATTATGTGGTTTGAAGGCCAAAGATATCAGACCCCTAGTAAGGGAAACATAAACGATAATCACATTGTGTTTCTGTAATTCTGACTAGTTTGGAACCGTTCACGAGGTAAAACGGTTAGGACTGTATTATATGCTGTTCTTCGTGGAGAAACAGGATCATTAGCTACCAATCATTGCCGTTTTCAAGGTAATTGCGAACGTTCATGGTTTTTCGTTTCGAGGCTATCTAAATTCCCCCCCAAATTATTTAAACCGATTAATCAAATACTTCTTCACTAATGTTAGCCGTGTCCAAGGGTGAATATTGTGGACACCACAGCTTTCCGGACGAACATGGTTAACATTAATGATCTTTTATTCGGGTCCATTATGTATGCAACCAGATGATTGATGTTCAAGCTGGACAAAGCGACCAATGCATGTTTGCCAGAAAGCTTATTTGCTTTTAGATTTCATTCTTTGGTCGATTATTATTNATTATTATTTACGTTTTATTGTTATCGAATTTGAAAAAAAACTTCAAGAGTCTATCCACAACTCAAACCGACGAACGGACGCTATCTGTTCGCTGACTGAGACCTTTTCAGAGCCTACCCAACAAAGTTGCACAACTTTTGGAATGACGTTCGGAT